TTTTCTCAAAACATCAAATCATGACTGACAGTCTATTAATCTGAATGTTTCACTTTATTGGACCCTGGGGGAATATTCTCTATCTCAGGCAAAATCAATGTAAGATGACACTGCACACACATTGGGGTGGAGAATTGATTGATCATAAGCATTTTTAATGAAATTACTCCTGATTCTTCATCCTTTTAAAACTGACTTTATTCTTTAGTTCCTATTAAAATTAAAGCCTTACCACCTGAAATGTGTGATTTCAACGTGCAATTCTCCATTGTATAGATGGCTCACAATTATTTACCACACCAATCCAGGCACTCCCTTCACTCAGCACACACTGGTCTGCTTCATTTCCCCAACCCTATCTGCCCAACATCGGTGGGAGCCTTTCAACCATTCTGCCCAGCTCTTTAGAACTCCACCCTAGAGTCCCTCCAACCCCTATTTCTATAATGGTGCTGAAATCTGGATGTTCTTTCGGTGTTGGAATTTATGGGCCACAACTGTGAAAAAGGAGAAGCAAAACGGAAGAGCCTGTATAGGTATTTCACTTCTCCCACAGATGCATCTGATGCAGTATAGCACTAATTAAGGGTCATCTGCCTGGAGCTGTAAGTGAAACTGTGACTATGAAGACTGAGGCTTTGGTGAGATGTTGTGAACTACATAATATGGCATTTATTTTTTGCCAATCCTGATATTGCTTCCACCATAAGCGTTGCTCCATTATTGCTCTCATAGTTTTCACTAAGAAAAAATGACAGGCCAGAAATACTCTGGGGAAGAAATTCCACCTAGCTTTCAGAGTTTGACAATTTTTAAATATGTAATTTTGAGCTGGTTTTCCTTATAGTTCTTTTAAGGACGACGGAAAACAGGCTTCAAAATTAAGACTGGATTCATCAATTTGCCATGTTCTGGACCTCTGAATGCTAGGAATGTAGAGTAAATCTAGACCCAGATGGAATTTCTCTCCATCTGTTTTTAAGGGCTGCATGATACATTCTCGGAAAGCAACAAAAGCAGTTTAAGGGTTTAATACCTATGGGCAGTCATGAGTTCAGGTTATACTGTAAATAAGTATATGCAGCATTAACCCAATAGTTAACATTAACTGTAAGGATTGTATTCCGATTGTACAAATAGTGCATGGCCACTCAGAAATAGGTTGCAAGTAAATGCAAATTATTTTGCTGACACCCATAAATCCTTCATTTTCAGACCTTTGTCAGTGCCATAGTTATTTGATGGGCTTGGAGCTTTGGTTAGATACATGGCTCATTTAAGATCTGCTGTTTCCTTACTGCTTTTTGTTATTCTATTCTGTACCCAGCTGAGATGACCTTCAATCAGACAACATCCCAAATAAGAGTCTCAATAAAAGAAACATTTGTCATGTATAAACATAGGAAAGTGTCTTGATAGGTCTGGTGAAGTAGTAAGTACAACTGTGTGTGTGTGTGTGTGTGTGTTGAGGAGGGTAATTTGGTGCACATAGCATACACGCAGAAGCCCCCAGAACAATGTCACTGACTGGCAATTGGGCTCAGAAATACTCAGAGCTGGAGACAGCTCCATGAACTTTACCCCGTGACGAACAGATGTTCGTCCAGGGTTCTTATTCCACCCAGATTGTTTTGTTATAATTCCGGCTGTTCTGTGGCCGCAGAATTCAAAGTTACCATCTGCTCAATGTAAACGTGGACGATGGTCTTGGTATGTTTTTGATTGAGGTAATAATTGTGTACCGAATAATTATGTTCCAGTGACAAGAAGTGCAAAAGGAGAGTTTAGGAGAATGTTTTCACACAGAGAGTGAGAATGTGGAATGCCCTGCCAAGTAAGGTGATAGAGGCAGAAACCATTGTGGGTTTCAAGAGGGAAGCAGACAGGTATATAAAAGACAGAGGTTTGAAGTGATATGTGGATAGGGAGAGCAATGCGATTGAAAGCACAGTTTTTTCTGAGAGCCAGTATAGACCCGATCGGCTGAATGGCTTCCTTCAGTGCTATACATTTCTATAATTCTATGATATCCAGTGCTAGAGCATAGCTGGTGGTTGGTGAGGTGGAAGAAGCAGGTGAAGAAAACTGCAAATGACTTATGGCAATAAATTATTTGGGACTTCTTTTCTTTCAGGACTGATTGAAATATCTCCCATTATGTGATTATCTAATTTCTGGCTGACAGTTGTGATTTTTTTCACACGGCATAGCAAGTAACAGCTTTTGAGTTATTAATATAATATTTACCTACTTATGATTTCTAGTTTACAGCAGTCTTACAGTGACCAATAGCATTTCATCCAGAATTAGGCTCTCAGTCAGCCAAGAGATGCTTTGAGATGTCCTCCTGATGTGAAAGGAGCTGTATAAATGTAAACTATTGTTGTTTTCCCATATTGAAAGTCTGCATATTAAATGTGCATATTGTGCATATTATGTCTGCTGGATTCTTGAGCACCATTTGAGTGTAGTGTGCTGCTTCCAGGGAATTACATGTCTATCTTGTGCTCTCAAAATTGGAGAGTGAGCATTGCAACTCCAACAAATGCAGGAGGGCTACTGCACCTCTACATCTGGGCAAAACAGTTGTGGGTATTGTGCCTACTCAAGCTGCTCTGCCAGCCATTAATCTATGGTTATATATTGGCAAAGAGCTACTGGTACACTCATACTGCACTATTGTGGATGCCTTCAACTGTTGATACCCAATGGTCTGTATAAGTATAGACATTTGTGCTTCAATTAAGCATCAGAACAATTTTGCTATTTTTGAATCTGTTTCCCAATACAGTCTAAGGCAGCACTTACTTCTGCTTGTTCTGATATTTCAATTCACCTACAGCAGTTACAGGAGTCAAGCACACATCTTGTAACAGGTCTATAAACTGCAAAATACATATTATGTATTTCAGACATCTGAGTTCTGAAATTTCGCACAAATCTTAGGCATAAGAATAAATGCTCCTCAAATGTTCGGTAAATTTTATGAAAGCCTTCAATTCAACCACTTAAGAGTGAAAAGCTGTCTTCAAAATTAAGCTTGAAATTCAGACTACCAAAATTTACACCATCTTAATTTATAAGCTATTGGTCTTAAGATTACACTATATACATACCATATCTGCATATATCTTCACATATCGCTCCATTAAAATATTTTCCAAATCATAGCAAGATTGTTCTATTTGTTGCATATGAGGAACCAGCCTCCTGTTAAAACAAAATTCACATGAAACAAGTTCAAGGTTGCAAAGGGCAATTTCAGCCAGACACCAGGAAGATTTTTACACGGAGGGTAATTCATGGCTGGAACATGTTTCCACAAAGAGTGTTTGAAGCCAGATCACTGGACTCATTTAAGAAACAGCTTGATACTGTAAATGGAAGACAATAAATTTGGTATTCTGGAAGCATGAGATTAAATGGGTTGAAGGATCTTCTTCAGCCAAACCTCTCTTGTGTTCTTGGAAGGTCCTCATTCTGATTCTCTTTATTGGAGATTGTCATCCTACTCTGACTCAGATTTGCATTGACATTCCTGAACGGTGCTATACAAGTGTGTTCCAATGCTCACCTGAGTCAGTGCCCACTCACAATAACCTGCTTACTTTCACTGTTCCCTTGCGTACCTTTATTTGGGTTGGTGTCTGCAACTCAAAGTCATTGAACAGATGGTGAGTAGGGTAGAACAGGAAGAAGATACAATTCCTCTTGAAGTTGTGCAGAATTGTGCTCCTGTGGTTGGGATACGTCCCTAATTTTCAGAAATAACATTGCTCTCCCATTCCAAAAGAATGTTTGCTTGTGCTGTGTATCGTTGGAAAACATATTTCCTCAAGCAAATAGAATTTCAGCAATGCTGGAAGGAAATTAGGCATAGTATAAAAGAGCTTCCTGTGCCCATTCTAATGCCTATGATGCTCTCCCTCCCTATCAGTTATGAAACTGCCTCTTTGTGGGGGTGGCATGGAAGACTTTACATCCTATCTAAGGGTAAGGCTACCCCTATTTTTTATCATCTGTGCCAAATCAAAGTCGAACCTGGTCTGGGGATATATATGAACAGAAGCATTTCAGTTTGAAAATCAAGAATACATTCTATATTCAGATTACATGCACTACATACATTGCACAATGGACATGACAACAAAGATAACTATCACTAAGTTTAGCTTCTTAGTAACTACCATGAGGCCACAATACATTTACAGACAAATACAGCTGTTTTCCAAAGTACTTTATATTTGGCAATGACTAATATTACTGCATGGTTTGCAGCTATTTTGGCAAAATGTTTCTTTTCTCTACCTTTATGGCTGATTTCCATTACTCTTGAATATCATGCGGACCTAGAATTTCATTTCTTGCCATTCATGTCTGCTTATTATACTGGTGAACCTACCTCCCAATGAATAGATCTTCCCAACTTCCAAGACAGCCTAGTCCAGAGCCACCTATCTAGCCACTGAAAATTTTATTTAGTGCTTTTAACCCTCGGCTATTTCCACAATCAATCTGTGCACTCCAAATTGTATTGCTGCCTCAATGCGCATTTACGCAGTTAAGAGGCTTCTTAACACTATTAAAAAAAATGTGAGTTTTCCATTTAGTAATCAGGCACTGGATTTGCTACTACAATACTTTTACTCTCTCCTGGGAGGTCGGCCACAGAAGATGGAGAATTGCACACGCTCAGAGCAGCATAAATGGTAACATGCCCAATGGCACATACTAGGGATAAACACACGTTAATTTACCAAGTGGAGCGTAGCCCTCTAGGTGGAAATTTGAAACACCGTTGTTCTTTTAAAATTTCAGTATTTTGGTTACCATCTTAAAAACAGAACAGTTCAAATTGCCCATGCTTCCTTAGTTCTGACCTACTGGCCAGCACAAGCTGTTAGGATTGATGTGAGCTCAGACTTAAACAGGAAGTCAGACCACCTGTGCTGTGGCTCTATTCGGATGCAGATTTTTCCAGCGATATTTTGTCCAAGTGTTCAAACTGTGGTGACATGGTCAACCATTCCTGGATTATCTCGTATCTCTACACATTCAATCTCCTCTTTCCTCTCTGCGCGTTTCTTTTTCTTGTGTCGTTTTTTGGATGGAGGGAAAAATGTCAAAAATACAGGTAATATAACAAAGCAATGTAGCAGTGTGCAGATGGCTGTGAGAAGTAAACACTTAAACAGTGTGAAGGTCAGATTCGAAGGCACGAAAAACAGGGGTATTAACCCTAAAAGAAAGCAAATATTACTCTGTAAAATGGCTGCTCCATTCCATTCTAAAGAGTTTTTGATACACTGAGTCCTGGTACGCTCCTTTTCTAAAACAAATGTAAAAAGCAGAGGTGCACAGTGGTCTATGGCATAGTTCAGGGAGTAGATAAGGCACAAGATTGAGATGCTGTCCATATCTACTTTCCATAGTGTCATAAATCCAACCACACCAAACTCCATTGATGTTACACTAAGTATCACCCAGATGTTACCCAAAGCACTAATAACTAAAGAAATAGTCAGCACTAGAATGATCAGGACACTGATACTTGAGTTCAGGATTGGCGAAGTGATGGAGGAGCTGTATCGATCCATGAAAACAAAGGTTGGATTGAACACAATATATTTAATCCTAGAAATGAGTGAGTGTTTCCGTAGTGTTTCCAGTAGATCGATCATTTCTTCATGTATGTTCTCTGCAGTTCTGGCCACCATGTACACACGAGATGCAATGATGTCCACTTCTTCTGATGTCTTTGAAAAAATGATGTCATCCATGTAGTTTCGAAACTCAGGTTGCTTCAAAAAAGAAGTTGACAGAATGTTGATGAAATCGCTTTTGGTTAGTACTGTAAAATTCATTTTTTTCAAATAATGCAAGTAATGTTCAATCCACGATATTCTGATAAAGCCCCTGCTAATTACTTGTAAGTCTTCTTGTATTGTTGCATTCCAGTATTCTATTGGCTCGTAAATATAAAACCTATCACTGGGCTGTAGTTACTGAAATACTTTTGCTGGGCTACTGTGAAAGAAACACTTTGTGAATCACTAGCGAGCATGTTAACAAGATTTAACCTATCACTGATTTGTAAACATCCCATAAAGGAAAATGACACATAAATCAGGTATAACAACACGACAAAAGGCTTGACATATGTATTAGTGATCCATTCAGTGTAGTGCTCCCTTAAAAAACGCTGAATGAAATGTTTTTGATAGGGATCACTTTCGTGGGAAGTGGATGGCTGGTATCCATCATTCATCATGGTTTTGAACCAGACTGGCCTAGAAGCTAAATATTCAGGAGAGGGAATTCGACAGCAAAATATACTATGGTAGCGGTTCTGTTCCAGCTGCCCAGCAAAGACCAAGCATGAACCGTAAAAGGAAAAAACATAGAAGTAGTTCACCAGAACAGTGACACACATGTTCTGACAGAAAATTTTAACAGATTCAATATTCGTGAATGGGCTTGCACCCATACCGAAGGTGATGATGTAGAGTGAGCTCGTCATAGTGTAGGACACCATCACATCAGAATATGCAGCCGCTATTCTTTCCTTAAATGGCTGGTCTTCTTTTGCTCTCCGCCATCCAGCTAAAAGCTCAAACACCCCTTTGGTTCCATGACCTTAAAGAAAGCAAAAGAATACAACTGTAATGGAACAGTTCTGTGAACTCTGAAACAGTTACTAAAGAATCCTGTTAGAATTTCCATTGACCCATGGGAACTTCACTCTGGATTTTTACCACATGAGAACGGAGTTCCTGGGGGTCGGTGTGATACATTTCCATCCCCCTTTGGACAACCCAGTTCTTTACTAGGTAATGCTGTTAAGAAATACCTGAAATTAGACCCCATTGCTATGTTAGTATTTATATAATTGATATATTTAGTAAAAATATATAAAAAATGCAAGGTGAGATATTCACCTGTAGTATGTAAAAATGACAGAAACATGGGATTGCACAATGAGTTCACAGCAGATTATTCATATTATTCAATTGAGAAAATGGGTGAAAAGGGTAAAACTGTGAATATCAGATACCTGTGATACAAAATACAGTACCTTGCATTTTAATCTTTAACATAATACTAATACTAATAGTAATAATAATAATAAGACAGCTACTTGGTGAAGAATTCAATTTAGGAAGTACAAGAACTGGAGTGGGATTATCTTTAATTTTCATATTTTTAAATTATGCACTATCTTGATGGAATCCAATAATAATATATAATATTATTGATAATAATCCTTGCATTTACTATATTGCCTTATCACGTTGTTGTGATATCGCAAAACTGCTTCACAGGATATACTGTAAAGTGATATGACTGTGTGAATATTGTGGACAATGAGCAATGGTCTTTTCTGGCTCCTATATCTGTCTACATTAAACAGTCACTTGATAGGACAAAAATGACTGTAAAACACTTTCAACATTTAAGATGCTACACAAATGTAACTTATTTTTATTCTATTATATATTCATGCCAATTAATATAAGGATTGTTATTTGACTGAGTATCCCTTATATTCACTATCTGTACAGCATGCATTAAGCTATTGTATCACATGAAGAACATCAGCATTTTTGTCATGTTCAGAATCTGGCACCAGCTCAAGTACAGCTCAGTGCTGCAGGATATCAGTAAATTGCTTGTGTGCCAGTACATTATGACCCAGATTGAATGAATCCTTGTTTAAGTTCACCTCCTCGGAAAGTGTGCTTTGCTCCTACCACACAGTTGATCATCAAATCTGGTTTTGCAAAATAATCACAATTATTTTAAAATGTGAAATTTGATTACTGACGAGCTGTCAACAAACTGAGTTACTGTTGTTTTTTATTGTAAGAAGCATTGCATGTGGTCTTTCAGAATGTGGGAATTTCTAACTACAGCAGATTTAATTGTCTACTAGATTCAAGATTAGATAATAGACTGTCCCCAAACATGTTCTCATTTGTCTTCAGCCTGATTTTCAATAGTGCAAACTGCTTTAGTATCTGACATGGCACTATATTGCAGCTTTCTCTACTAAAGTTGCAATGAAAAAATAAATATTCAACAACAAATGTCTTACTTTCCTGGTTTCTGGAATTTAAAAATCTAAGAATGTAAAATGTAATAGCACTAAATCCATCTTGTTATCTGATGCTTTTCCTAATTTGATGTGAAAATAAAATAGGCATACTGTACAATGAAATCATATGTAATCGCTCACATCTTTGTTCATAGAATTGCACATGGTCAGCACATAGGGAAGCTATTATGAGACCATTTTAAAATAAAAACCTTATCTGGAATAAAGAGAAAGATTATACATGACTATTCCTTCTCAGATGTCTTTGGATTTATGTGATTCTGCCTTTGTATTCCACCATTGACTGCTCTATGAGCAACATTTGACATTTAAGAATCCTGGGTTTTCTTGGTTTCTGTTCTAAACAAACACACAGTGAAACCATAACATAGTCTGGGAAGCACTTTGTGACATCCTTTTGATGTGAAAGGCATAATACCAATTGCAATGATTATTATTATTACTACTACATAGAAGAGTATATTACATTAACCTTTTGGAACAAGGACAAGTGGTTTTCTCAATCTCAAGTGCTAGCTAAATAATGGTAGCCAGATAAGATTGTTCATTGGCTGTTTGTGGGACACTGATGTTCGCAAGTTGACAGCAGGCTGCACAAAAATAAGTCACTGCACTTGACTGTAAAACACTTTGACATGTTTCACTGTAACTATGCAAGTCCTTTTTCTCGGAGGATTTAGTAATCAGCACCTATAATGATTATTGGGTATAATGATCATGAATTGTTGTGTATAAATGACCAATTACCATCAATTTTATTGACTGAGTAATATGTAATAAATGGCTATTATATAAAAATGAAAGGAATGCTGCAGAGAAATCAGCTGTTAATTGACCTGTATGGAGAAAGTTTGACAGCTCGTTCAAGACGTGTTCAGCTGCTAATTGACCCACATGGGAACCCTAAAACTGTATGAACAAAGAACGTGCTAATTGATTACCATTCATTAAATTATTGCTCAACTAATTCCCAGCTTAGATAAGGAGGGGATACCCCTCTTGGGAAAGAGTGCACACTCCATACCAAACAAACAAAAATCATAAAGATCTGGAACTCTCAATAGTTTAATTTGGAGACTCTTAAGAATGGTGATTTGTTTCCACATGTGTCAGATACCTGGCCAATCAAAAAAAATCCCTATCTTTTGTGTAGAACTATTCAGGTTGAGAGGACATCCCAAAGTGCTTCACAGAATATACTGTAAAGGGGAGTGACTGTGTTTTCTGAGCGAATATGGCAGCCAACTTGCATGTAGCAATTATCCACAAACAACCGTGAAGTGAATGACAGATTTTATTTGGGGAATTGTTGGCCGGGATATTGGGAGAAGCTCCCTTCTCTTTTCGAATAGTACCACCTGAACAGGCAGATGGAGCCTTGGTTTGCTGACTCATCCAAAGGATGGCTGCGTATGTTGGAATGTCGTCTTAGACTGTGAGTTCCAACTTTCGTTGTGGGACTTGAATCCACAGCCTCTAACTCAGAGGCGAGAATACTACCAATTAAGCCAGGCTGACATACAATATAAAAATGATGATTGTAATTCTTGTCTTCGAACTGTGAGGAGTTATTATAAAAATAAGTTGCAAGATTTGTTTGACCTTATTCTTCATATGGAAGGTATTGTTTTTCCGCTGCCTACTGACTTTATATTTCTAGCTATCATTTTATATTACTGTTCTGCTACAATGGCTTTGGCTATGAAGAAGACTCTCATGATTGCTTTTATTCACTTCATGATTATCTGTGAGACATTGGGGTGTGCAAACTGGCTGCTAAATCCACCTCCAAAATATAAAAGAACATAAGAACTTGCTCGGCAAAAGAAGTCTAACGTCCATTCAGTTCACCTTCCAACATCCTGGCAGTCATGTTGTTAGAATATACACTTTTTGTATACTGCTAGAATCATAATAGATGTTGTGAATAGGTTAACTTTTAAGTTAAGTGTGGGGGACAACTGAACTGACAGTCATGGGTTAGGACACATCTGGTTTTCTCTGTTTTTGAAAGAATAAAGGACAGGGGCAGGGGGTCACCTCTTATCAGTAAATGACAACAAGCCACAGAGGTAACGGTCCAAGGTACCAGTCAACACAGGATCTCGACTGAGCAATAAGTCGCTAAATTCTGACAGGGCCTGCCAACCGACAGAAGGCAACCCTCAAGAATAGCAACTAATGAGCAAGTTGCTTAAACTAGAGGGCCTTGGTACCATCCCGGGATACTGATAAGAAATAACCAGTCACTTAAAAGGAATGTACTAATGATCCCACACCACAGATAAGACCCTAAACTGATCAATCCTCTATCTTAGACAATTAGATCAGATAACAGGGGTCTTAAGGGCAATGTGTATGTGTGCTGAGGCTCGTACACCCCATGAGGTGCTCACGTGAACCCAGCATGATTTCGACCAGGGGATCTAATGTCCGCACCATGATTGGATGAACATTGGTATAAGAGTTCCGATAACTTTGTGTACGCGGCCGTCCCGGGTCGCGGAGACAAGGATATGGGAGATGGGGCCGTCCTGGGTCGCGGAAACAAGGATACGGGAGATGGGGCCATCCCGGGCTGCGGAGACAAGGGTACGGAGATGGAAGTTTGAGAGCTGGAAACACTAAGACTGAGGATATCAGATGGAAGATTGGAAGCTGTAAGCAAGAAGACTGAAAGCATGAAGAATCAAGGTTGTGTGCTGTAAAGACACAGTGTTGAACTCGAGATACCTATGGTGGTATTATTCTGTTATAAGATCTATTGATTGTACCGGCCTTTGGTCTGACCCATCAGGATATTAGGGAATAACGAATGAATAATAATAAAACAGTCTGATATCTGGTTAAAGGAATTAGCGTTATTTCCTAACAGATTTGGCTGATTTTATTTTCTAACAACGTTATATGTCATGTCCCAAACTATATATTGTATTCCGAGATGCACAGCCACTAAATTTTACAGTAAATTCTGTGAAAATCTTTGAAATGTTTTGACAATGCTCAAACAAATGCAAGGATTGGATATCAGATCAATCTTATGGTTGGAGCAGATTTACTGCGAGTTTAACATTTATGTATATCTGATATGAATAGATTACTATTCTGTCCTTGAAATTCTGAAACCTGAAAAATAATAATGACACTAATAGTTCATTTCAAATAAGGAGTCAATGCTAGGATAGAAAGCAGCAGCAAAAGCCCAAATAATCCAATAGTAACTATTGTAAATAGACACACAAGTAAAGAAACAAATGTCAACGTTTGACTCATTCTAATACTGTGGGAAAAGGAACCGAAACATCTCCAAGTTCTTAAATTTAAATGAAGTTAAATATAAACTTTATAAATGAGTTTGTCATTGTTGACCTGAAGAATGTTCTTTCTATAGTGTTAATCCTAATATACTCGACTTCGAGATCCTCACACTCGTGTTTAAATCCCTTCGCTCTCTGGTACCTCCCTACCTTTCCGACCTCCTCAATCCCCAATTCACCACCCGGCATTTCCGCTCGACTGG